TGCATCATCTCTTTCTCCTGCTGGTCAGGTCTGGGTGGAGAACTCGGATGGGTCGGGAGCTGTGAACTTCCTGACAGGGATGGGTGGGTTCCTGCAGGTCATCCTCTTCGGCTTCACGGGGTTCAGGTGAGACCTGTTGTGTCACTTTTAATTCCCAAGCAAGCACTTGTCCCTTAAAATGTCCCTGTTTGGCTGGAGCGAAGCTGGGAACAGGTAAGAGGCTCGTGATGGGTCACGTTTGGGAAGCAAAATTCCATTCCCTAAGCCTGTTCTCTTGTCTTGGTTTGGAAAGACAGGTGCCTGCCAAGGAAGGCAGGAGCCTCCCCTGAAATGGAAAATGTAAAACCCCCCATCCAAATTGCTATAAATTTTAAATTAAGGGGCTCTCAGGCAAAAAATGTAGGAGCAGGAAATAACAGTTCTTTAATATGGAAGAAAATAAAAATATAAAGCCAACAATGCAGTAAACTAAAGCAACACTGACAGAGTCAGAACTCAACCTGACACCCTGTGGGTCAGGGTGTTGGCAGCAGTCCCATTGGAATTGTGGCTCAGCCCTCCTGGAGTGTCAGGGGTGGTTCTGTTGGAGCAGGCATCCTGTAGAAGGGTGTAGTCTGCCTCTGAAGATCCAGTGGAAGAAGAGGCAGCTGTTCCTCTGGGAAAATCCAATGGAGAAGCCGGCGCTGGTGTTCCAGAATCTCCAGATTATATCAGGGTAGAAATGCTTGGCTCTCCCCTCTGGGCTCACATCTCACAATGGGATGCTGTAGCTCTTGTCAGCCATGCAGTGACATTCAATAGCCTGTTATCAGCAGATGTCTCCTCGGAACAGTTATGGAAGAGATAAGGAAAACTGCCCACTTAACAGAAGACTGCTGCCACGGAGATGGTAAATAGAATACAATTTGCTTGACAATCCAGGACATCTCTGCTTCCACAGCAGCATCCTCCTGTCTCCTTTGGATGTGGTGAGGAAACACCTCCTGCCGCCTCCCTGGAGTGAAGTGCTGAGCAGGCATCGCCTCAGCTTTAAAATATCCTGGGAAAATATGGAGCTGGAGCTGTTCATGTAATTTCAGAGCCGTGGTGGTTTCCACCCTGGAGCCGCCGTCTCTTCAGCCTATTCCTGGTTTAATTGAGGCTGGATCAAGACTTTTGATTCCCAGTGAAGACTTCCAGCCCTAACTATGTGTTTTCACTCCATGTGTGTGGCCAGAGCTGCTGGGAAACCCGCCCCATGCCTTGGCAGAGCTGGGTGTGAGCTGCCCTATTCCCAGCTGGAAAAGCCACCCGTTCCCCATTCCCTGGCGGAGCCGGGTGTGAGCTGCCCTATTCCCAGCTGGAAATCTGGGCTTTGGCCAAGCTGGGAGGTCTCCAGGTGCCCAGTGTGTGCTGGGTCAGGCCCCTTGTGGCACAGGCTCAAGCCACAGCTTTGTGGCTCTGGCCAAAGTCCAGAGGTGGCGGTGACATTGTGCAACCACAGTCCTGCCTTTCCCTCCATAGGGCATGGATCCTGCGCAGTGCTGGGGCTCCCCAGGCCCCCAAACCTGCCCTGAGCCCCCTCCAGGCCCTGAAGCCCTCTCAGCCTTCTGGAGCTGCTGGTGGAGAGCTCTGGTGTGCCAGGATTTGGGCCGGGGACAAGAGGGGCCGTTGTTTTTCCTCCCCCAAAGCCAACGCCCACACAGGCAGCTTGGCCTTGGCTCGGGGCTGGAGAGAGTTGGGATGTTTGTTCCATTGTTTCTGGGGAAGGAGCACTGCTGGGGATACAGAGCAGACAGGGTCAACTGATGAGGCAATTAAAAGATGGTTTATTTATTGCAAAATCAGTCTCATGGAAGGCTGAGACCTACATTCAGTGCCAGCACATCAGAAGCAGCTTTAACTTTAGTTACAATGTCTTTTGTATATTTCTTATCATATATTTCTTATCATATCTTATATATTCCTTAATCAGCTACTTCTACAAAGCTCACTAGGATGTTCATAACCCAATCATTAATTGGCTATCATCGCTATAAATGACAGCAAATGATAGCAAACTGCTGGAAATCATTGCTACATTTTACAGGATTCTGATGCAATGTGCTTCTTTTTGTCCAGTCCAACTCTACAGACACTTATTGCTGGATCTTCTGCTTTTTGCCACCTCTATAACAAGTTATATGATAGACTTTAAAGTTTTCTACTCTCTTGCCTAACATAGTTATTCACTTCCATAAGGCATATTTCTGCTTACTTAAAAACATGTTTCTGCTGGAACTACAAATCTTAATTCTTACTTCGTGTCTATTTCACTTTTCTTTTCTAAACCTTCAAGCCTGTTCTCCAAGGCCTTAGGTCAAGCACTGCATCCATCTCTGTCTCTGAGCCTTGGGAGCTCTCTGTGCCTGCATTTCCTGCTGAGCTCCCAGCCCTCCGTCCCGTGGGAATGGGAGCTGAGGTGGTGTCTGAGGGTTCCTGGCTCTGGGAGCAGGAGCAGGGCATTCCCCAAGCTCTGCCAGCACAGCTGCTGCTGGAGCCAAGCTCTGAGATGGAACTGGGCTGAGTTTTTAAAATATGAAGTCTGGAAAGCCCAGGCCCTGGCTGTGGAACTGGGATGGGACAGGGATCTCTTGGGAATCACAGCCCCAGCAGCTCCTCCCCAGGTGCTCCCTCAGTGTGTCTGCCCAGAGATCCCTGGATGCACTGAGGACCCTTCCAGACCCCTCTGGTGTGCTTGAGGTGGTGATGCCTGGAGAGGTGGCTGCTCCCTGACCCCGAGCTGGGCTCCTCTGTGGCTCCTGCTGTTCCCCCCCCCCGACATGCTCCTGCCTTTCCAGGATCACGAGGTCCGGCCTCCTCTTTGATCCCGCCTTTCCCGATGGTATCACCAAGCTGAAACTCTCCAGCATCTCCTACTTGGGCAACAGACTGGAGGTGACCATCACCAGGGAGGAGATCAGGATGGAAGTGACTGAGGCCTCCTGGGACCCTCCAGCCTCTCCCCTGGAAGCTGTGCTGGAGTCAGGACAGCGCTTTCCCCTGGAGGAAGGTACGGCAGCACTGCCTGCATCTGCTCCCTGAAATAATTCGGGGAGAAACCATTCCCATACCTCACACAAAGCTTTTCTGTTGCAGGGCGGAGTGTCTCCTTCCCCACAGCGCCTGGATGGATCCAGAGGTCACCCAGCAGGACCCCCTAAACCCTGCCTGATCCGGGTGCTGCCCTCTGGAGCAGCAGATTTGGGATGTTGGTGCAGGGGGAAGGTAACAGGGGGTGGAAAGGGGGTGCCAGGCTGGGCCAGGAGCCCTTTGCCCCCCACCCAGGACTGTGTGTGCCACCTGTCCTTGTGGCCCCAGGGGGACAGGGGCTGGAGCTGTCACCATGTCTGAGCCCCCTACTCCCCTCCACACATCTCTTACTCTGCTCAGGAGAGGAAACCAAGCCTGAAAATGTCCCTTTCAAACGTGTTTGCTGAACACCCACGAGTTGTTTTTGCTCTCAACATGTTTGTGTCTGTAAGGAAGCCCATTCCTGACTCCAGGATCCTGACTCCAGCTCCTCCAGCATGTCCTGCCCTGCTCCCTGCCTTCCCCATGTGTTGCTCCGTGAGCTCAAAGGGCTGTGGAGGCTCAGCCAGTGCTGTCTCACCAGATGAACGATGTTTTGGCACTAAGTATTACTCCAAAATATGCAGCAGAAAGCCTTTTAACCCCGTGTGGGCAGCACACAGCTCCACTCCTGTTATTTGGTGTGTAACATCCCTCACATGCTTTTAAGCCCTTATCTACATTATTCCCTCTCTTTTCAAGCACTTCTGGAGTTAAATCCTTTCTCCCTTGGCATCTGAAGGGCTGCAGGAAGCCTGGACACCAGAGATCTGTAGCATTATCCTGTCCGATGGTGGCCAGGGCAGCCTGAGCTGCTCGGGGTGAGCAGAGAGCTGCTGTGGGTTTGCCCTGGGACACGGTTTTTGGTGTCCCAGGAGCCCCAAGGAATTCCCGTGCCTGCACCGGGTGGGCTCGGTGCTCCCAGCCCCTGGCTCTGGGCTGCGCAGCCTCCTCCGCTCCCCGCCCTCCCTGTCCCCGTCCTGGGTGGGATTCGGGGAATGCCGGGGGCGTTCCCTGCCCCGAGGGTCTGTCCTGGCCAAGCCAACCCCAGGAATCTCGGCCCGGTTTATAAAAAGCCCCGCGGCTGCTCCGTGCCCCGAGGCATCTGGGAATGCTTAGGGCTGGAGCAGGGATTTTGCCGCTGCCCTGTAATTACTCGGGTCCTGCTCCAGCCTCATCAGAGCCGCCAGCCCCTAATTAGCGGCAGGTCTTGGCACGACAAAGGGACCGTGCTGTCCCCAGCCCTGTGCATTGCACCAGGATTGGGATTTGGATGGGGCTGGGATACAGCCCCGCTCTGAGCCAGGGCTAGCTGGCACTAAAGGGGGTTCAGCCTCAAAAAGGGGTCCTTTATCCCAAAATGAGCAGTCTCCAGCCCAGGCACGGAGAGCAGGGAGCACTGGGGGTGCTTCCCAACTCCCCCCTGTCCTGGCTGGGACTGGCTGGGGGTGTCAGTGTTGCTGTAATGAATTTGCAGGTCTCAGCTCCATTTGGGGTGGGGAGGGGACACCCCGTTTGCTTCATCCTGCCCCCATGAGGCCCAGGAGCATCTCTGCTTCCTCCCCTCCTCAGTGCTGGGGCCAAAGGTGGCCCTGAAGGCTGTGGGAACAATGGTGTCTCCTGGCTGCCAGGAGCCCCATCAGAGCCAAAAATTCCAATTTATGTTTTCCCTTTGGCACCCCCCCTGCCCCTTCCCACACGCAGAAACTCACGCTGTGTGAAGCATTTAATGATTTAAATAGCAACCACGGAGACTGGGGCTCCACACGGGATAACGGGAGGTAAAAAATCCCACAGGATAAACAAAAACAACGGGGCTTGGGGGGGGGGTGGGGTGGTAGACAGGGGTGGTGGCCTTTTGGGGGGGCCACGAGCGACGCAGAGGAGGTGCCACCAGCCCTCCCCCTGGGTCACTGGTCCTCGTCGTCGCTGCCGCTGAGCTGGTAGGTGAAGAAGCCCACGGACTCCTGGGCCAGCTTGGAGAGGTGGATGACGCCGGTGACAATGAGGGCCCCGAGCAGCAGGGGCAGCAGCACGCTGCCCGCCGTGGCCAGGGCGTTGTAGCACCGCGCCTTGGAGCTGAAGTGCTGAGCAGCTTCCACATCCCCGGACACTTTCCTGTCCCGAGCCTGCAGCAGCCGAGGAGAGAGCCTTCCCTCAGCCCTTTCCAAAGCCCCTTCCCTCAGCCCTTTCCAAAGCCCCCTTCCCACAGACCTTCCCAAAGCCCCTTCCCTCAGCCCTTCCCAAATCCCCTTCCCACAGCTCCCTCTTGCAGTTCTTTCCCACAGCTCTTCCTGCAGCCCCTTCCTGCTCTAGGGCTTTGTTCCCCTTGCAACCCATCATCCGTCCATCCATCCATCCATCCATCCATCCATCCATCCATCCATCCATCCATCCATCCATCCCAGGCTCCCCTCCAGCCCCGCATCCTTTCCCACTTGTGTTTTCCTCCCTGCTTCATCCAGAGCCTCTCTGGCTCCAGCCTCTGCCTGTCCCCATTTTTCTGTCCCAGTCTAGTCCAGCTGGAGCTGGGATTTTCCCTCCTATTTTCCCTCCTGCTTCCTCTGGAGCCTCTCTGACCCCGGTCCCTGCTTGTTCCCATTTTTCCACAGCTGGAGCTGCTCTTGCCGGGAGGGTGGTGGTGAAATCGCGGCCCCCATGGCACTTTTTAGAATCAAGCAGCTGCTCCTCGGGTGCTGGGCAGGGGGCTGTGGTTATTCCCGCCTCCGGGAGCTAGTGGCAGGAAAAGCAGGGAGGATTCACCAGCGGCAGGTGCCACCGCCTGTGGGGAGCGTTGGGATCTGCCCGCCCCAGCCCCTCCGGGAGTTTTCCCAAGCGCTCGCTGCCTCCTTGGGCATCTCTCCCATCCCTCCCATCCCTCCCCGAGCGCTCCGGTGCCGCCGGGGCCGTACCTTGACGGCGAAGGCGAGCGCCACGAAGCCCAGGCAGCAGAAGTTCATGTAGAGGGTGTTGAAGATGGCCCAGACCAGGTGGTCGCGGGGGCCTTGGGGGGCGGCGGGGGGCGGCCCCCGCTTGGGGGGCGGCCGCTCCTGCCGCGGGTCCGAGGTGTCCATGGGCACGGAGAGGGACCCCGCGGCTCCGGCGGCCCGCGCCCCTTTTATATCCCTGCTCCGCTAAATATAAACCTGGGAAATTACAGCCCTGAGGGATGTGGTTGTCCCGCAGGCCGGGCTGGGATGGCGAACCCACGGGCTTTTAATAGCCAGCCTTCCTCCCGGGATGAGGAGCGCGGGTGGCTGCGGCACCGCAGGAGGGGCGCTCCGAGGCGGAGCCCGGGAGCTGCGCGGCGCTGGCTGGCACAGGTACCTCCAAACCCCCCCGCCAGGTGAGCTGGGCAAGGCTGACCCCCCTGGGCAGCACTTTCGGGCTGTGGGATGGGTGAAATGGGAAGTTCGTATGGAAAGGTGGAAGAGCCGCACCCACGGGGCTCCCCGGCAGCGGGGGGGACACAGGGCTGCAGGGTGCAGCCAGGACACGCGGAGGGGCTTTAATTTCCTTTTCCTGCCATCTCCAATGTGGAAAACACTTTTACTCTCTTGTGAAAATTTAAAAAGTTTAATAAAGGATAGTAGGAGATAAGGAACATAGAGTAAAAATTACGGCTGGGTGTGTCTTGGTCCTCAGTTAAGAGCACACCGTTATCTCCGGAGACACTTCTTAAACACGTTTTTTATAATATTAGCCTGTTGTATATTTATAGACTCTGATGTAAACTTTTTTCTTAGGCTAGTTTGCATATTTTAAGAATTGTTTAGTATGACTCTTTTTTGGTTTTACTTTTTCAGAGTGTGTGTATTTTTTGGTTGTGGTTTTAGGTTATTTTTTATTATTATTGTTAGTTTTGGTTTTGCCCACACTGTCTCTAGATGGTGAGGGTTGATAGTTGGTATATCTGTAAGCAGGTGTCTTTTTTATTTGTTTATTGGATGTTATCTCATCTAAGCAGGCATTTTAACAGAAGCATGCTTATCTTAGCTGTTTTACTACTCTGTCCAAGCTTAATTAACAGCAGAAATAAAAACTATATCTTTGTAACAGAGTTATACACCGCACGTATGAAATGTGTAGTGTATAACTTTGATATAACACTACACATATAACATCTATTTTAATATTTGCGAAAAGCCAGTATTATAATATGTATCTATAACATCCCAGATGTTGAGAAGAAACTTCCCTGGGGTTTGGGCTGGAAGCGCCCTGCTCCGCGGCAGGATGGAGGCAGGGAGAGGAGCAGCAGCAGCAGGAGGAGGAGGACGCCGCAAAGATGCCCGAGGACTCGGCGATGTCCCGCGGTGAAGGAGGTGACAGCGAGGGGACGAGCTCCCTCGGTGGCGGCGGCGACCGACAGGTGTGTCACGGGTGCCAGGAAGCGTGTGAGCAGAGCCAAGGGGGGGAGTGGAGGGCTGTCCCCTGTCCCCCACGCCCCAGCCTGGCCGCCTCGTCCCCTCCCCTCCCGCGGCCGTGCGGGGGCAGCGAGGACACCGGGGTCACTCCCTGCGGGCACATTTTGGAGGCCGGAGGAGCGAGGGAGGGAGCACCCCGCGGGTGGGGCCGGGCGCTGGTCAGGTGTCCCTGAATCTGGACACGAAGGTGGCGGCGATGACGATGAAGATGACCCAGACGACGGCGACCGCCACGGAGCAGACGATGTTCACCACCCTGGCGCGGTGGCTGTGGCGCCGGGCACCCTCCAGGTCCCCCGACACCTTACAGTCACGGGCCTGGGGGACAAGCGGGGGCTCGGGGTGTGTGCGACACCGACTGGGGGGCCAAGCCCCCCGGGGTGGCCGCGAGGTTGTGCGGGGACCCCGGGGACGCGTGTGTCACCCGGGGCACGGGGCGAGGCCAGCGGGCGCTGCCCCAAAGTGCCGGCACTCGGGGGGGACACGGCTTTGGGGTCCCGGGGTGGGCACACGGCTTTGGGGGTCCTAGGGTGGGCACAGTGTGGCTTTGGGGGTCCCGGGGTGGGCACACGGGTTTGGGGGTCCCCTGGGGGGCTGGCATCGGGGCTGGGAGACCGGGCTGGGGGTCCGGGATGGGAGAGGGGTTTGGAGGGAGGTGGGCAGGGGGAGAGGAGCGGGGGGTGTCAGGAAGGGCCGGGGGATCCCCGGATGAAGGGAAGGTCCGGGTCGGGCTGGGTCGGGGGGTCCGGAGGTGGGGAGGGAGCCGGGACACGCCGGGGGTGTCGGGCTCGGTCGGGCTCGGGAAGTCCCGGGAGGGGCTGGCTGGGGGTCAGTCTGGGTGGGGGTCCCGGGGCCGATCAGGGCTTGATCCGGGGCCTCTGGCGGGGGTCCCCGGCCCCTCCCTCACCTTGACGGAGTAGACGAGCGCGGGGAAGCCGCAGCAGCCCATCCCGCCCAGCGCGGACCACAGCAGCACATTGAACACCGACCAGAGCACGTAGTCCCGGGGCTGCGGCTCGGAGCGGGGGCCGGGGGCGGCCGCCCCCCACCCGGAGGACTGCAGTGGGATGGACACGTCCGCCTGCCTGGGCTCCATGACCGGGAATGAACGCCTGGAACGGGAACGGAGCTCGCTCAGGGCGGGGGACCGGCCCCGCACCGCCCCGCAGAGGGAGGGGGGGCACGGCCCTCTGGGACCCCCATCCCACGCAGTCTGGGGGTGCAGGGCAGCTCTCAACCCGTGGGGGGCTTCAGGGGACTTGGGAGAGCCCTGAGGACTCCGAGGGGACTTGAGGGGAGGGTTGGGGATGTTTGAAATTATGCAAATTTTAATTTTTAATGTGACATTAATCAGGAGTTTGTTCGCCTGTGCCAAGGGGGAGTGGAAATCAAGTTTTTCTTCGAAAGATTCTGTTCATCGGGAGAGGGCCGATGATCTGAACATGCACATGGGAGTTGCCATAAGAGCATTAGAGAACATTAGCGAATATTAGCGACCATTAGCGACCATTAACCAACATCGCCTCCCTTGTCTGGGAAATGAATCGTTGGGAGAACCGAAAAATGAGGTTTAAAGGTGAAGGGATCAAGAACCGAGAGGAGATCTAATACTAAGAATTGTAATTCTTAAGTGTAACTCTGAAGTGCAATTTAAGATCGCTGAAGGGGAATTTCTTTGGCTTTTTGTCCGTATGGACATGGGAAACACCATGTAAGGAACTATGTGTGGATGGGAATGTTTTCCATGGCATGTCCGCGCCAGGACAAAGTAAAGCCTCATTCTCTGTCACTACAAACATCGTGCTGGAGGGTTTTTATTCTCCTCCCGAGTTTCGGTGGCAGGTGGGCTGCGGGGAGCTGTCCGTGGCAGCCTGGGGTGCTCACAGACGGGAGGGAGGCTTTGCCTGTGGCTGTTTTGGGATGTGAAAGGGTCGGTTTTTTCCATGTCGGCTTGTGTGGGGCTGCCCTTTAGATTTGTGCCGGAAACTGTTGATAAAAACCGGGAGAAGGAGGAAATGGGGATCTTGCAGCAATGGCCTTTGCTGGCCTGAGTTCCCATTGGCTGTGTTGATTTTGGGCAGGCCAAGCCTGGGGCCGGGCAGGCAGCAGATTCCTTTTGCAGCAAGGAGCCCGTGTTTTCCGGGAAAAAAGCAGAGCAGAAAATGATTCACCGGAGGCTCAGTGCCAGGGATCCTGCAACAAATATCCGCTGTGTTTGTGAGTGGGATTTCTGACATCTTACGAGTGGTGTCTTGGCAGGAGCCCCATGTTCGTGGGGAGAGGGAAAATCGCGCTTTTGTTCCCCTCCTTGTGGGGCCCCAGCCCCCAGGACCGGGCCCTGCCGAGGGCGAGGAGTGCAGAGGGGAAGGGGGAGCCAGGCCAGCTGCAGAGCCGAGGCTCTGCCACATGGGCTGGGGCCAGGGCTTCCCACGTCCCCTCCGGGGTCACTCCGGGCTCGCTGGGGCCGGGCGGGCAGTGACAGGGGCCGGGCGGGCAGTGACAGGGGCCGGGCGGGCAGTGACACGTGTGGCAGCCCCGAGGATCCCGCCCTGCCAGCCTGTGACAGGGACCCCTGGTGCTTGGTGTGGCTCCCTCTGGCCGCAGTTCCCTCCCCTGCGGGATGAGGAGGGAATCCGGAGCACAGAGGCGAGGGAGCTGCCGGGCTGGGATGAGCTGGATAGTGAAAGTGGAGGATGCGCATGCCAGCCGGGTGAGACACGGAATTCATCCCCTGCTTCCTGCTGCGGGCAGATGGGCAGCTGTGCCCAGGCAAACCGGGCTCCAGGCACGTGGGATGGGGGCTGTGAGCATCCCACAGAGGATCCCAGCTCCCCTGGCTGCAGGGGGAGATGGGCAATCCAGCCCCGGTGGGGTGACTGGGGATGGAGGCACAGAACGCACTGGCCCCTTCCCTCTGGGAGCCTCTCCAGCCCTGCTGACCCTGCTCAGTCCCATTCCAGCTCATCCTGCTCAAGCCCTTTGCACATCCTGCGCCCCCAAAGCCACCTTGTCCTCAGCTCTGCTCGCTGCCAGCCCGTCCTGAGGGCTGGAGAGGACGGGGGTGCTCCTGGTGACACCCAGCAGGGATCAGGTTCCACCCTCACCCTCGGTGTGACCCTTCCAAGAGCTTCACTGCCCATGCGGATGCAGGATCCGGGTTCAGGGTGCCTGGGGTGTCCCCTGAGCAGCGTCTCCGTGATGGGGGACGGTTTCCACCTCCCTCGGGTGTCTCTGACACATTTTATGAAAATCCTTTTGCTAGGATTTTTCTCCTGAGAAGCCTCAGAAAAGAAATGTAAACAATAATTATCTGCTGCTGTGGAATGTGGCAGGTGCCTCTTTGATTGGTCTCACGTTTGATTGTTTCTACTTGATGACCAGTCACAGGTCTAGCTGTGTTGTGTCTCTGGTCAGTCACAAGATTTTGTTATCATTCCTTTCCTTGCTGGCCTTCTGATGTCTCCTTTCTCTTTTTGTATAGTTTTAGTATATAATTTTCTTTTAATATAATATTTATCATAAAATAATTAAACCAGCCTTCTGAAATATGGAGTCAAGATTCTCATCTCTCCCCTGGTCCTGAGGACCCTCAAACACCACCTCCCCCAGGCACATCCCACAGGCTGACCCTGTTTCTCATCCTGCCAAGCTGCTGTAGAACAAGCCCCAAACCACATCCTCAATGATACAAAACCAAGACACGGCAAAAGTGAAAGAAACTTTTATTTCAGGGGAGCAGGGTTTCTCTGAACTGGGCGCTTCTCCTCAGAACTGTTTTGAGGAGGCAGCTGGGGCTCCAAGCAGGCTGTGGCAGGGTTGGGGTGCTCAGCTGCTCTCTGGGGCGCCGTGTCCATCCCCAGACGGCTCCAGCCAGGGCAGCCACCACAAAAGCTCCGAGTGGGGAGGGACGAGGGACAGGAGAGCAGCAGGCTCCGGGTGAGGCACGTGGATTGGTGGATTGTCGTGGATTGTCATGGATTGTGGCTCCAGCCCCGGGCTGGCGCCGGGGAGGGAAGCACAACCCGCGGGCAAGGAGAGCACTTAAGTGGGGCCGTAGCTGTACCCGTAGGGTTGGCGGTGGCTGAAGACCCCGGCGATGGCCAGGGAGACGAAGACAATGACAATGACGACAATGAAGATGTTGATCACCAGGGCTGTGATGTTCAGGTACTTGGCCGTGGAGCCGTAGCTCAGGGCCCCGCTGTAGTCACCCAGCACTTTGCGGTCCCTGGACTGGGGGCAGGCAGAGGCAGAGTCAGGGGCGGTGGTGTTGGGGGTGTCCCGGGGCGCTCAGAGCTGTGAGAGAGGTCCTGGAAGCGCCAGACCGGGCTGCACCCTCCCCAAAACACCGGGGGTACCCTGAGGTGCCCACTGCCCTCCCTGCCCCAAAGCCCGGCCGTCTGCAGAGCTCCCAGCCGGGACTCCCTGGGGTCAGTGCTCCATGAAGAGGGGACTCTGTGGGGTCCCTGGGGCACCCTCTGGTCTGGGGTTTGTGGGGCCCACGGGTCACCCTGGGACCGGGAGCTCAGTGGGGTCCATGGGGCGTCCCGGGCTGGGGGCTCGGTGGGTGTCCCGGAGCTCCGGGGCTCGGTGGGTGTCCCTGAGCTCCGGGGCTCGGTGGGTGTCCCCGCGGCCGCCCCCACCCGCGGTGTCCCCCCGGGCTCCCCACCTTGACGGAGAAGACGAACGCCAGGAGGCCGAGGCAGCAGAAGTTCCCGTACAGGGTGGTGAACAGGGACCACACCAGGTGGTCCCGGGGCGGCGGCGGCTGCTGCTGCGTCTCCTCCACCATCACCGTGGTGCTCCGGGACATCTCCTCCATGCTCACCTCGGTCGGCAGCACCTCGTAGGGCGGAAGTGGCGGCTGCATGGCTCGGGCTTGGGGACAGCTGTGGCGGCACCTGGTGAACGCGTGGTGCTCCGGGAGGTGGAGGCGCCGCGGGGCGGGCGCAGCGCCGGCGGTTTCGTTTCCTCGAGATTTCGGACGGAGCGGGAATAGACCGCCCCTCCGGACGCCCCTGTAAGGACATAGGAGACTCCTCCTCGGCGCCGGGGAAAGCCCGGGCCACCTTTCCTCGTTCCTTGCTTAATCCTTCTCTTTACTCATTTTCCTGCTTCTTTTGTTGCCCCTTTATTGCCGGCTTCCTTCCTTACCTCCGCCTTTACCTGTTCTTTGCCCACTTTTTGCTTCACCGTTTGCTTTCCCTTTTCTTTCTTTACCCCTTGTCTCAGTGTCCCTTTCCTTGTCACCTTTTTTGCCCCCATCCTACCTTCATCCTTTATTCCATTCTTTCCCTTCTTTTTTTTTTTGCCACCTGTGTTGTCCCTTTCTTCCCTTTTCCCCTGTTTTGTCCCTTCTTTGCCTGCTTCTTTCCTCACCCTGTTCTTTCCTTCCCCTTTCTTTTTTTCCTCACTTTCCCCCCTTTCTTTGCCCCCTTCATTTCCCCTTTTTTGCCTTGGCCCCTTCATTATCCCCTTTTTCTTTTCCCTTCTTTCCCACTCTTTCTCTGTCCCTAATCCCTGTGAAATCCCCAAATCCTGCTGGAGCCCCAAGCCCACCTCCATCTCCCACAAACACAGGCTTGAAGCCAGGGGGTGCCACTTTTTGGGGATACCATTTGGGATCCCTGGAAAGCTCGGGCTGCACGCCCTTAAAGGAATCCCGCTCTCAGGCTTCGCGGTGTGCTTGGGCTGTGTTAATGCGCCGGAATCCGCAGGATACGTTGTCCTGGAACCTTTTCCTGGCAACTCCGGGAGTGTTTCCGATTAAATAAACCGAACGAGCATGGCCCCGCCCTGGAAATTGGGATTTGGTTTCTTGGAATCGCAGCCCAGGGCATTGGTGCCCTCTAGTTTCCCCAGCCGTGAGTGTGTTTCTTCCTTTAATGACTGATTTCTACCGTGCTTTCACCCCTAGCCCGAGCCGCAGCAGGGCGGGGACGCTGCCTCAACCTGTGGGAGTGCAGAGGAGGGAAAAAGTCCCGTTATTTTCCAGCCCTGAGCTGCAGGGGGAAGAACCAGCCCGCAGATCGGGGCACCGAGCTGCGGCCGGGCTGAGCAGAGGGCACAGAGCCGTGACCCCGGGGTCTCTGCATCCAGCCGGGGGGATCCTGGCGATCCCGGCGCCCAGCAAGGAGGATCTGGGGATCCAGCCCCCATGGGACTCGCAGCGAGTGGGAGTCGGGGGGGTCGCTGCCCCCCATGGGATCCCCACACCCAGCGGGGGGATGCTCCCGGGGATGCCCGCACTCGTCTTCCCGCGATGATCCCGGGATCCCGCCCCTGATCCCGGGGATGCCCGCACTCATCTTCCCGGGACGATCCCGGTGGGGTCCGTGCCTGCGGGTAGCGCCCCCCTGCGGACCGGTCCGGGCGCTGCAGCCCCCGCCACTGACGGGCGGGAACGTACCATCAACGCCCCGGGGGGGGGGGGGTCGGGGGGCGACCCTGCCGAGGCCTGCGTTACTAATCGCGCCGACCCCTCCGACCCCTCGGTGCGGATACCCCGTTCGGTTCCGCCTCGCCGCCGCCCCGCTCTCCCGCCGCGCAGGGTCAGGGGCAGCCCCGGTGGCTCGGTTCTCCCCCGCGCCCCTCATGGTCGCGCCCGCGGCGCCCCCTGGGGCTGCCGGACCGTTGGCGTGGAGACGCGCGGCGCCTCCGCAGGCCCCGCCCTCGCTGCGCCCCCATTGGCGGAGAGCCCGCGGCGGGCGCGCTGCGATTGGCCAGCAGGGCCGTCGCTCCTGGTCGGGGGCGTGGCCGCGCGCAGCGCCCGCTCATTCATTCCCCCCGCGGGCGCGGCGCGGGGGGGGGGCGATGCACCGGCGGGCCCGGGGCCGCCGAGCCCCGCACCGAGCCCCGGCCCCACGAGCCGCAGCCGCCCCGCGGCCGGCCCGGAGCGCGCGGGCTGGACGGGCGGGGGGCCCCATGGGCCGGGGTTAGCCCGGCGGTGGTGGCGGCGGCGGCGGCGGGGGCGATGCGGGCGGCAGGATGCCGCGGCTCCCCGTGAAGAAGCTCCGGAAGCAGCTGAAGCTGCTGCTGCTGCTGGCGCTGCTCACCTCGGCCGCCTGGTTCACCTACCTACACATCAGCCTGGTGCGCCAGGGCCGCGCCCTGCGCCTCCCCTTCGCCTACGGCAAAGGTAACGGGGGCGAGGGGGTCCCCGGCAGCCCTCGGAGCGGGGCCTCGGGGGGCTTTGGGGATCCCCAAGGGATGGTGGGTCTCCCCCGCCACTCCGGGGTACTGGAGCATCTGGGGTTTGGGGGTCCCCAGGGAGCGCCGGGGCTCCCCCCGCACTGTGCTCTCAGAGCACCTGGGGTTCGGGGGTCCCCGAGGGGTTTGGGGGTCCCCCTGCCACGCTGGGGACCCGGAGCACCCCCCCTTTGCAGCGCTGCGCTTCTGTCCCGCATCACTCGCGTGGGTTTGGGGCGAGCGGGATCCCTCCGTGGGCTCCGCGCCCCGGCGTTGGACCTTCGGTAGGAGGGGACACCCAGGAGGGCCCCCAAACCGGCCGGGACATTCATTGTCCCCCCTCGAGCCGCTCCGTCCTCATTTTTCCACCCGCTGCCTTGGCTGAGATGACAAAGAGGCCATTTATAGGCGCTCGCCCTGATGGAAGGGACAATCTCTTCTCTCCCATCCCTTCCCAACGTTCCCATCCTTTTCCAACCCTTCCCTTCCCATCCCATCCCATCCCATCCCATCACTTTCTCAGCCTGTATTTCTCTACTGCAAAAAAAAAAAAACAAAATTCCATTTTTCTGCCTCCCTCCCTCGGGTAGCGGCCGGGATGGATTCCGGGATGGATTCCGGGATGCTCCGGAGGGACAGGTGCCCCGAGGCTCGGTTCGTGTCCAGCCGCTCCTGGTTTTCCCGGGCCAGATGTGCCTGGGCAGCCCGGGGAGGCACAAAGCCACTCGCGATATTTGCCGGGTGAAACTTGAGCCGTGGCGTTCTCGCTGGGACCGACCTCGCCTAAAAAATTTGTCCTAAAAAACGCCAAGGGGCCGGGATGTGGCGCCTGTGGAAGGAGGGAAAGCCTTTCCCGAGGGGTTCCCAGCGGTCCCGGGGGTTGGCAAAGCCTCCCGGCTGGAAAACCCAAAGTTTCCGAGCGGAGCAGCAGCATGAGCCTGCAAAATTTTGGGCCTTACGGTGAAATCGGGATAATGGGAATGAGCGAGGCAGGAAATGAGGCTGGGAGGGAGGGAGGGGAGGCAGCGGGGGCTGCCGGCTCCCTGCGGGATCCTCCGTGCCGGGAGAGCCGCAGGGTCTGCCCGGTGCTCCCGGGGCGGTTTTCCCGGTGTTCCCGGGTGGGGTTTCCCTGTATTCCCACCACCATCCCCAGGTGCTTCCCCCTGGCCCTGCTGCTGTTCGGGACGGCCGTGTCTGGGTGGCCTCTGGCCGGACCCTGGCTTGGGATCGCTGTCCCCATCCTGGGAACACCATGGATCGGGGTCCCCGCGGGTGTGAGGGGCGAGCCGCGGTTTTGCTGGCGGCAGGATGCACAGGGATGCTCCCAGGTGCCCATCTCTGCGTGCCCTGCATCCCGGCCGGCTCTCGGGATGCTCCAGAGGTTTTGCTGTGGGAGGGAGGGGGTGCAATGGCTGCAAAGTGGGAATGAGGGGAGAATGGGGTCTCTAGGAGGTGGGGAGAGAGATGGGAAAGTACATTGGGAGGGGAAAATGTTGCCCCTTGTTGTGGGGAACGCAGGCACCTTCCCTGGCTGAGGTGGGGGATTCTCCAGGGAAAGCTGGACACAGCTGGGATGCTCCTTGCACTGGGATTTTCCAGTGGGGTCCTAAAACCCGGGTGAAGGTGTGGGAAAGGCAGAGTTTGGGTCCCATTCGGCCTTTTTGGACATGAGGTGGTGGAAAGGGGTTGGATGGAGGTTGGGGAAGGGTTTGGCCATGCACAGATGGACCCTCATCCTGCTGCTGCCAGAGTGGGAGAGGCAGGGAGTGTTCTAGGTGGAAAAACATGGAATGGAGTGAAAAAAACAAAACAAAAAATCCCAAATAGGTCATAGAAAATAAACCATATTAAGGAATAAACCTTGTTGCAAGGGTTTAGGGGAAGAGCATCACCCCAAGGGTCTGTGCACCAAAAGGAGCTTGGAGATGACTTTTGGATTTGGCCACCATGAGCCAGGACCTGTCTCTCTGTGCCAGGGGTGCTGCCCGGTTAATTAACAAGGAAAAAGGTTAATTACTCATTAAACAGGATGTCAGTGAGTAGCTGGATGCTCTGAAGGCTGCAGGTGCAGGGCATGAGGATTTTAGGCGGTTTTGGGGGGGGGTAAAGTGGGGGAGACCCAGCCAGGTGGGGTTGGGAGCATTATCCCAGTGGGATTATCCCAGGGCTCCCCATGTCCCAGCCATTGGTGACACCTGGAGCATCCAGGGGCTGGGCTGGGAGCTGGGCTGGTCCCTGATAAAACACCCCCCCCCTTTTCCTCATCTTCTCCAAGTAGATAATTACCCTTCTCTGGCTAATTGAGCACAGGATTCCTCAGTGGAAATAATGAGGCCATTTCCAGCTCTCCCGGCTGGAAACCCGCTGAGGCAATGGGGTGGAAACGGGGATGTGCCAGGTGGGGAAAGGATGGAAAAGGAAAAAAGAACTGGGAGAAAAAGATAATAACGCCCTGAAGTGGCTGGCAGAGGGGATTTGGGGCTTGGGGTTTGCTGGGGTTTAGCCTGGAGTGAGGTTTTGGGGGATTGGGGCAGCATGGGATGGGTGCTCAAGGGGGCTAAAGCCAGGTCAGGGATGGAGTGGGGCTCTCTCTGCCTGCTGGACATGGCATGGCCTGGGTCACCCCTCTGCCATGGTCCAGAGGGCTCCCAAACCCCCTGATCCCGAGGCAGCAGCGGGATGGATGCTCCGTGTCCTCTCCTTGGCTCTTCTGCCTCCCATCTTTGGGGAGAGCAGGAGGGAGAAGGTTTGGGGTAATGTGTCCCTCTGGGATCCATCTCTGCAGATCCTTTGATTTTAATTGGGAGCCTGGAATGCTGCAGCTGCTGTGGGGCTCATCCTTTCTGTCAGGGATGCCAGGAGCAGGTAGGGAAGGGGATGAGAGAGCCCTTTGAAGATGAAGGGCAGTGGGATTTGGGACTGGGCTGGGAGCTGCTCTTTCTTCTGCTGGCATCACCCCATTCTCCTATCCCTGCTGGGAAAGGCTGGTTTGGGTGTCACTGGGGTCTTTTTTCCACATGGGAATCCCTTCCTGGACAGCCCCAGGCTTCATTCTCTGCTCCTCTGGGGTGCCCAATGGGAAAACTTTGGCACCTGCCTGTTTTGGGCTTTTCACAATCAAAAATGTGACTCTTCAGAGGCACAAGTGGCACCCCAGGGTGGCACCTGTCCCCAGCCTGGCTGTGACCCGGCCCCCTTGGCACCAGCAGGGTCCCCAAAACTGTCCCTTGGAGCCAGGGGAGGTGAGAGATGGCTTTTCCCAAGCACCAGGAGCTCTTTGTGTTGGTGTTTGGAATCTGCCCTGGATCTCCCCTCCATCCCTTCCCCGTGCCTGCAGCTGGGGCCCTCCAGAGCTGCTCCTTTGGAAGGGCTGAGCAGCCTCCTGGGGTGTCAGTGGCCTTGGCACTGGCAGGACACAGGGATTCTGGCT